CAATTATGCTAATGCTAGCTGCCTGTCACGTTCTCTCGTCCTGGCCACACCTCCGCTCTCTAACCCCCCTTCCCCTACCCACACCCCCTCCTCTACCCACTTTGATGCATTTTTCAAATTTCGCCTTGGGGCGGAGTTATCTTTTCACAGGGGGGTAAGATACACTTTAAGGCCTTATTTTTGAATTGATGAATTCAATGCCTTTTAAGACTTGAAGGATCTGCTGGAACCCTGCTTAATGTTTTAAAATTCTGCCAATTTTTGAGCTTTTGTTGACATTAAGATGCGTCCATATGCTGAGAATGTTTTTACAGTACATTATCTGTATGCTAAACATCAGGAACAATACAATCTGTATGCAAAGGGTGGACAGGAGAATTAATTTTTCCATCCTTTTTAACAGCAGTGTTAAAATAAAGTTCTGGTAATGTTTGAAGTAAATACTTGCTAATAGTATCGTAACAGATGGGACATCAGCCACAGAGTATGGAGGAATGGAGGACAGGGCAGAAAGGAAAGGTCTGTCCAGGCTAGGCTAATGGTTAGCCAATGGGGAGCTTTAGTTGTTTTTCATGTTTAGGAATAATTCTTTCTCAAAAACTACATGTGAATAAACAAACACTACATTAGCTCATTTTAAACCTCTTCACCTTTACTTAACACTATTTGCTTGGTTTGCTGCTGTAGTCTAAGTTCAATGTTAAAGTTACTATGTGAACGTAGGTGTGTTGAACTTATGAAGCTGCTGAATGCTCAGGTTGTGAAAGAAGGAGCAACCTAATCAAACAGTATCATACAAAAGTGTAAAGATTTAGTTTCATTAAATGTAGCATTCTTTTACACAGGTATGTTTGTTTTGAGAGAGAGCTGCCCTCATTTCGCTACCTATTGGCCTAGGCTGAAAACTTCAGCAATTTTTGCTCTGTGGCTGATGTTACTGCTCATGCAGTACTAGTAACTATTGATACCTATTTGACAGAACAGCACTTAAAATACGACCAGACTAACCTTTTGAAGCTTATCAACAGCCCCTTCATCCCAAGCTCCTGTAATCTAGAGGCAGATGCAGCTCTTTGTAAATCACTCTACCTAACAGCATTTAGACAACATTTGTGCAGCAGTCAGACTAAAGTCATCTTGTGCTGACTGGAAGAGCACGGCAGGCGTCCACCCAGCTATGTCAAAAAAATTCTTCTAAAACAGATAACAGACTCAGGATCTGGGACACCCCACCCAAGTCCCAGATGGAGCCATAAATCTACCTAAATGGGGGGGCCTAAACGCCTCTTCCAATAGTCAAGGCCATGTATAATTCAGTGGACTCTTTAGGTACTCTGTTCAGTGTGACTGCTTTGCTGTCAAGAAAGAAGAGGCTAAATTACAGACTCCTGTTGGTAAAAGGCTGGAGGACAAGCCTTTGCTTGTTCAGTTGGACGTGCTGTCATAATAGATAACTCTGCTGTAGCCTGGCCTTAACCAAAGCAGTCTAGTTTGTACGAGTGGTGCTTAGACACCAGTGATGAGAACACATGCCTTCATCAAGCATTAGTTAACAGTGTGATGGACGTTTTCACTAGC